GGGAAGGGAAGGGAAGGGAAGGGAAGGGAAGGCAGAAAGAGGTCAGCCAGACTGAGAGCACAAGAACTTGACCTTGTTGGCTTTCGAGATGGAGGAAGGGGGCCAAGAGCCCTGAGAAACAGGCAGCTTATAGAAGTTGCCTTGCCTGGTCAACAGCTGACAAGGAAATGACTACAGACTACCACTACACAGCTGCAGGTTTTTCCCAGTGTCCCCCAGGAAGCGTCAACTCAGTTAACCCCTTATCTTTGGGCTCATGAAACAGAGACATGCAGCCCAGCCAGTGCTGACTTCTGACCCTGCCACATGAGCCAACCACAGATAGGCGGGGTTTGAAGCTGCTCCTAAGGGATGGCCATTGGTTGAGATGGCAAAAACACCCCCTCTGCAGGCAAGCTCAGGAGCAGGCTCAGAGGAAAGGCCTGAGTTCAGGCTGCTCAACTCCAGAACTCATACTCATGCCTGCAGCCCATGCCATGCTGACTGGTCCCCTGGTGGGGAAGCAGGAGCCACTTGAAGAATGTGGTGGAGGAGCAGGCCTTGGTGTGGGTGCCCAGGCACACGGAAAGCAGAGGTAGCACGGCAGGAGGGGCCCCTGTCACCTCCTGGATGCAACTTGCTGACTGGTCAGCTGTGGCCTGCCCTGGTCTCCTGGGTGTCATCAGGCCACGTGCAAGGCTGTTTCCCTTGGACACCCATTCCCCTCTGGTGCTTGGGGCAACAGGGCACTTGCTTTCGGCTGCACTAGAGAATTAAGCTCAGAAAATTCAACTTCAAATATCACAGTCTCCCCTGAGAGAGGTCTTTCAACTACATTTCACTGAAGAGAATGAGTGTTTTTAAGCAGCCATACCACACAAACTCTAATTGGCTCTTCCTCCCTCATCAAATTCCCCAATAACATTTTATCCTAAAACATTCAATTTGGGTTTCCAGTGCCACAGCCCATTATAAACGACGTCACTTGAGATGTGTCAGGGATGTGAAGGCGTGCTGGCAGACAGTGAAGCCAGAACGGCAACTGAATTTAAGGGAAGCCAGATAGTGCCTCATAACCCCGAGGCTCTCCACAGGTTTTTCATAGGAAAAAAAAAAAAAGCTGTTTTCCTGTGAGAACTGTCATTTCCAGGGAGCTCTAGGGGGCTGGCCCACGTCCCAGCATCTCACACCCAAACAACTTCTAGCTCACGATTAAAGCAGAACTCAATCGGTCACGTGACCTCTTGGACAATTTTGGAGCCAGGGGGATTCCCAAGCAAGAGGGCATGGGACAAACAGAATACTTGAGTGCTAGGCTCCCAACAGCAGGAAGCCGACCTCCAGCCCTGATCCCGGGTGGCGGCAGGCTGGGCCCAGCTCTCGGCTTACCAGCTGAAGAACTGAAACGGGTACTGTGAAAGTGGGAGGCAGCAGGCTGTCATGCTCACTGTCAGCTCACTGCCCAGTGCATCTGTATCTCCCCCTCCCTCCTTGTTTATTATTTTTGTAATGTTTTTTTTTTAGGTATTTATCTTATCTACATCTGAGTATTCTGCTTCTATGTCTGCATGTATCTCGGAAAGTGTTGGACCCCCTGAAATGACGGCTGTAAGACACCAGGTGGGTGTTGGGTCATCGCGTACTTCTTCTTTGTCGTTTGTTTTTGTTTTCTTGAGGCTGGCTTTGAATTCAAAAAGATTTTCCTGCCTCGCCTCCCGAGCCCTGGAATTAAAGGCGTGCGCCATCCCCACCCGGCTTGTCAAGTGCCAAGCCATCTCTTCGGCCTCATTTTATTTATTTGACTGAGACAGGGTCTCTTTGTAGCCCTGGCTCTCCCAGAATCCAGTATGTAGGCCATGCTGGCCTTGAACTCAGAACTGCCTGCTTCTGCCTCCAAGTGCCAGGATTGGGACTAAAGGCATGCACCACCCCACCCGGCAAGCCTTGATTTTTTTTTTTTTTTTTAGAAGCAGCCTTATGAAGCCTAAGGCTGATCTCAAACTCTCAGTGTAGCAAAGAATACCCTTGAATTCTTGAGCTTCCTGCTTCCACCCCCAAATGCTAGGATCACAAGTTTGCATACCACACTGTTACCATAACATATCCTGTGCTGGGATTAAACCCAGGGCCTTGTGTATGCTCATCACTGAGCTAT